TTTTATATATATATTTTATTTTGTCATCTACGTTGTGATGACCCTAATTTGCTTTGTTTACAAATATTCCTCGTCAAATTTTACTGGAGTATAATTTCAATTATTAAAATATTTTACAAAAAAAAAATATAACTTAATCCCCCTGAAGATATCTCGATTTTTATATAATTTATTATATGGTACGGCATGACGTGAATTTTATTTAAGTCTTAATATATTGCTAGTGTATATATAATATTCTTCTTAAAATATTGAGAATGCAATTATAGTACTAAGCTAGTTAATGACTAAACATAGTGACTAAACAAGAAATTAATCTCTTAGTATTATTTGATCTTTCGTGACTTTAACAGGTGTTTTAACCAAGAACACTTTTAAAGCGATGCAATAACAATGGTTGCAAAGAAATGACGATAACCCGTATAGCGCTGTCTCACTATGACAAATACCTTTGCACTGTATTAAAGGATTCATAGTAAGGCCTAGGACCTCATAAATATCATATTTAAACTTTTCATCTCAAGTTAGCAATAAATAGGGTAAATGCTCATGTGTTAAGATCGAAAGCATAATACCCAGTGATAAATATAGCACATCAACGTTTAGGAAGAGGACAGTCTTCTTACTTCGGAGACCGCCTTCTCTATTACACGTAGACCGCCTTCTCTATCACACGAAACATAATCATGCCTTTAGAAACTGTTTGTGTGCGACAGAGATAATGCTCCACGAAACTGAAGTAAGCGATTATGTATTTCCAAATGTTGATATGCATTATTTAATGGCTGGTTTACAAGTAATTAAATAGTAAGTAGATTATAACTTAATTTTAAGAGATTAAGAACGTGTAAACACACAAGTAGGAAATAAGTAGCAAGTTAATATTTAATAAGCTATTCCACTCTGTTTGAAATAATACTTATAACTGTTTATTTTATTTTAAAAAGCCATAAAACAAAAGTTTAAGGAAAATGAACACGTTTTGTTGCCTTAAACTTTAATCAAATTTAAACAGCAAAAACGCTGTCCGTCATATTAATCGTGATATGTACATAATACAGATGCATAGAGTAGAAAGATGATGTCAATAAAATAAGAGCACTGCTATCTAAAAATCGATTACGAAATAAAAAGACATAAATAAGCTAAGAACAGTGCCATCTAGGAATTTGAATAATAATTATTAATGACTAATCGTATAGCTGTCGTCACAGTGACGTCACACAATAACGAGTCGTGTTTCAAGTCAAGTGATACACAGACAATAAATTTTCGTGCGATTTTAATACTCAAAATCAGAGTCTCTATGTTTATCATGATGTTATTTTTATAGCTGGAACCATTTGCACACCCCACCCTGGAAGGCTCTAGTCCTATATAAAATTTCCCTAATCATTGGTCCAATTCTTGTGCCATATTTTGTTGTGTTTGTATGTATGTTAAGTATGTTCAACAAATCATTCATTTATTCATACCCTATTCCATGGGTGGCCAACCAGTCGATCGCGACTATTAGTCCAGTCGATCGTGGCAATTAAAAAAATATAAATACATAGAACACACTGCACAACGTTATTTAAGAAGTAAAGTAATTGGTAGATCGTACTGTGTGTCGTCAGTGTAAAGTCGATCTTGGGTCTAAAAAATATAAATACATAGAACACACTGCACAACGTTATTTAAGAAGTAAAGTAATTAGATATATGTTAGATCGTACTGTGTGTCGTCAGTGTAAAGTCGATCTTGGGTCTAAACAATTTGGCCACCCCTGCCCTATTATAATGAAGCTCTACTTATGAGCTTTGATTAACAAAATTTAAACCTGCTACTTATTTGTGTGTTACCTCGTACATAATCACTTAAAATTACATTAAAATATATACTATCTACTTAATCACGTGTAAACTAGCCATTGTGTTGATTTTATTATTGTATCCTTGCTAGTTCTGTTATGTCTGCATTAGACCACTTTACGCCAATGGACTTGCAGTAGAAATAACGAAAATCCATTTATATATATAATTCTAAATTAAATACATAGCTACAAATTGAAATAGCTTTTCTTGTGAGTCACTATTAGGGTTTTCGTTATATAGTTACTTTAATTTAAAAGCAAAATACACAGCTAGGTAGACTTTGACTTTATAAAAACTATTGTGATTAATATTACCATGGTCGTTATGATCCATCATAGATATAAACATGATTCTTTTGGTATATTTAAATCACAACAGTGCTAATAATTTTATAACAGCGTGGGATGGTGCACTCGGTATACATAACCACTGGAATATTATAATTTATTGTTATTTATATTATTATTTTTTTAATAATAATATGCGGAATTATCTGAACTAAACTTATAAAAACACTGCATATTTCCCCAAGACTTTAATGTCCTTATATCTGAGATAAACGCATATTGGTTTGGTGACCCAGAAGTACTAGCAGGTAGATTTTCAAGGCCTCCTGGAGCACTAATTTTAATTATCCCTGTTAATTCGTAATAGATTTTCTCAATGATATATAAACAACGAATTCCATTTCAATGTCACCCAGATGAGTGTTATGCAAGTTTATAGATTTGCCGAGTGTGTATTCTAAAATTGCTCATTATATTGTCATTATTTTCGAATTCATTATAAAATTCCAGTGCCGTATGCCGAAAGGTGGGTGCGGTGGGTGCCGCCAAAGGCGATCGCTACTTTGTCTCCCTCTCCAGCTGAATTAACCTACGGTGTTGGCTCATTTTTAACAGTCTTGTCAAAAATGAATTTTTAATAATAATAATAATAAGAAACGTTTATTCAGTTTTGAAAATTTTAACCGTGTGGAGTTGTAATCTTTTAAATTTAATTAAATTTCGTCAGACTCGGTTAATCCTGTACGTTACGTAGTAAATCATCGGAGATTATTGTTGTTTTATAATATTGTTTAGAAAACGTCGCGAACTAACATAAGACACACACGATTATTAAAGTAAAGTCCTTATATGTATATATATGATTGTAGCGTATGTTTTTAAAGTACCTAATTCAATGTAATATTAATTGCTGATAGAATTGAAGCAAATAAAATTATTATTATTGATTGGCATGAGTAACGAAAGTATTTCATTTTAATCACTGTTCTTTGGACACCGCATAAAGCATTGTAAACTCTCCATATCCAATATTTAATTCGTTAAAGGAAAGTGGATAATAAAGATTGTATTTTTTTAATATATTTCAGAGCAACGTTTTGATATTGCAGGTGAAAGATAAAAATTTCAAAAATGAGCCATCACGCTTAACCTAAATTGACACTTAATGCTATTGAAGAATCCAAAATAAATTTTTATACCTAATTAGTCACATTTAAAAATTACTGTCAATGAAATTTTTTTTTTTTTATACACACGACACAAATTGGAGATCGAGCGAAGGCAACTAAACGTCACCATAGAATATGGTTTGTTTCTAATTACGTAAATACTTCATACTCCAATAGAACAACATTAGACTTATAAAACAAAATATAAACATCTAAAATTATGTCATTTTTATTATAATTCATTTTTAGAATCGAATGCTTTTCTCATTTTAAATTCACATTGTTTTATTCTAATAAGAATGTTAAATTTTTTTAAATGTATTTTTTTATTAACAATATTAATTAATAAGTAATATTAAGTTAGTAAGGCTATTTTAGTAGACAATTATCGAAAGCCCAACTTGTCGTTTTGTTGTCCTTTTACAGGGTAAACAACATTAAAATGCTTTAGCAAATGCGTTCATTAAATAATTTTTTATCGTATACAGTTTTCTGAAATAAATAGTTTAGGTTTTAATTTATATATACTTCCTTGAAATTCTACTCATAGAGGGCAGTGTGGATTTTCCATAGTCAATTTAAAACTATTAGAACAAAAACATAACTCATGCCACATACTCCAATACATAATTAATTTCGACACTTTCAAATGACCCAACATAAAAGGACAACAATGGGACTGAATCAAAACAAGGACACACACACAGATCCACACACACATACATACACACAACATATATTAAAACAAGCTCATACAACATGATTAGATCATACATCACAAAATGCAATCACGATAGAGATTATGATTCATAAAACAAATTAACAACTGACAATAGACAATGAAAACTTAATGTAGTTAAACTATAGCCGAAAGAGAAATATCTTTTTGGCTATAAAACCTATAAATTAGATGTTATCAATTAAAACAAAAAATCTAATAAAACACATTCAGATTCTTAAATAAAGTGAGCTTCTCAAATGAGTTCTTATAAAGAGAAATGTCTGTATTCCATCTAAACAGCTCCATCCACACGACACGACTTTAACTCTTACATTAATACTTATTACATTGATATGTGACCACGTGAAAAACGAAATCTACCTTATTAAGGTACGCATAAGAAACAAATTATTTCATCAAAATATAGAACTGATGCTCCTTAAATTTCAACAAACATCGAATATCAAATTAAATAAATTTAAAAACCGAAATAACAACTCGAACACATTGAGAAATTTAAAAAAAAAAAAATGTGAGAGCGATGAATCCTTATTTAAAAAAAAAACGTGATAGCGATGAATCCTTATTTTACTGTGTGGCCCCAAGATAATGATATTTATATATTTTTGATACTTAACACATTAAAGTGAGATTCTAACAAGAAGTGCATCAAAAACATTTTAATAGTGATGTTTTTTAATAGATAATGATGGATTAAAAACTATAAACTAAAATGTTCACAAAATGATTATTTAATAGTATTGCTTTGCGAAATTCGTTGAGATACACTTGTTTTATTATTGCACAAACAATAAATTAAATTATTGCAAAACACTCGCAGTGAATCTAATTATTTAAAAATAATAAGTGGTCATGTCGTATTGGATGGCTATGAGATTAGAATATATAAATTCTAGAAATAATAATAACAAAGACCTTCCTCGTCGTCTTAATTTTTCTATTCTTCGCTATTTCTCCATTTCTATTAGATCACTCGAGGAAGACCAGAAATATAGTTTACAGTCGATTATGAACGAGTTAGCGAACGGATGCCGCCGTGAGAGTGACAGAGACAGTCGACAGATGCAGAAATACCCGTGCTCCGATGACGAAGCGACGCAGATAAGTCAACTTCAATAGAGTTAGAGGATGATTCAACCCTGAAACAATGAAAAAAATAATTATATAAATATAGTTAATAAAATATATAATAAGGTACCTGCTGCAAATAACAACCACGCTGTAATAAGGCCCTAGAAAGGCCTTAGAAAGTTCATGCTAATACTATTCGTGTTCAAACTTCACTCACACAAGTTTAACACCGATAGATACGGAGGATTATTCCTGTGCGAGTGAATTTAGAAGAGTATTAGCACGATTGTAAAAGGCTGGTTTTATAACAAGGCGGACGTTGATTGATTGTTCGTAATGAATTGGATCCGACTATACTGGACCGATTTTTAAGAGTCCTTCAGCTACGGGAAGCTACATTACACGCGTTGATAAACGCTATAATAAAAATAGTATTATATAATTTTCCTAATTTAAGATCGTAGCTGGATTAAATAGCTTTAATATAAATTATATTGTTAATCTGTTTAAGAGTCTTAATAAAGCGAAAATAACTTATCATCAGATCTTTTACGCCACCACTGCAGGGGCTCAGGCCTGGCCCAATGCGGATTGAAGGATATTAACGACCGCAAATGCATTCGGGACCAACGGCTTAACGTGCTTTCTAAATCACGTAGTAGCTCTTACTTATAATTTTCGGTCACCCATCCCGTAACCCACCGTTACGAAAGTTGCTTAATAACAACGATCGCGGGCCGCGGCGCTTATCCCCTACGCTACTGAGCTACTCAAGTTAGTAAGTAGTATACTATTATTATTATACTGTTGAGACTATCACCTGTGCCATTCAGACGTGCTGCACATACTCCGGGTTGAGGAATGAGAAGCCCATGAACTCTGTCTGGTCGAGGTTCATCATGAACAGCTTGTCGGTGGGCGTCAGCTCGGTCTTCTCCTGAGTGAACTGTTTGTCGAAGTTGGATACATCCTTGCGATGTTTCTGAAATGTTAATGTAACATATAAACGTTACGTAGCGTTAATAAATGCGTAATATTTTAGCGGATCTAGTCTAATTCACGGAATAAGATGGCGGAGTCATTAAATTTCCCTTTCATTTTTCGGGAGCAAATTGAAATAACATAAAGTGTCAGTTTAAATCACTTAAATATAAACTTTCACTTTTGTGACATTATATGAGCATAACCTCGGGAATCCCTTAGCTGCCGAAAGAAGAACTCGTGTGATGTATGCCGGTTTTGTTAAGGTTTAGAAGTATGTTCTTACAGAGGCCTACCCGTTAAAATATCACAATGTGTATACTAATATTATAAAGGCGGAATAGGAATATTTTACTGTTTGTTGACATCGAGTAGGTTCAGGAACTACTAGGCCGATTTAAAAAATTATTTTACCTAGGGGTAGCTACGTCATAGAGCGTTGACATGTCTTGGGACAACAGTTAGTACATTTATAAATTTCTACTAATAAAGAGCTACTAAGGGAGTAATTTTTCAGTGCTGCTCGTAGTAGTATCTATATACTCGAGTCTTTGAGAACCTGCATATCTCCGTAACTGGATCAATGTAGAAAATTAACTTATTTATATTGTCCCGAGTCTTAGTGCCGTGGTGTTCGGTTATTATACATGTAATTCATGCGATGTTTTCTAAAAATGGAACAAGTGAGCGATGCTTACGATTAGGGATGTAACGATATATCGGAAAACCGATATTTAACAATATATCGACGCCCTAAAGTATCGATATCGAAGAAAGAGTGATATCGAAAAAATATCAAATTATCGAAATCTAATATCGAAGAAATTCAAAGAATAAAAATGTATAACACTTCTACAAATTATAACATTCAATAGCTGCTCTCCACTTGTGAGTAGAGTAACTTTTTATTATTATAATTTGTGTTTAATTTCATAACAATAACAATTTCGTAACAATCCAATTCCAATTTATTTAAAGCAATAAGACAGTTACCATTGTGCACGCCACGAGCATGCCTTCTGAACGCCTTTTTTTCAAAAGAAGGAAGTCATTATACGAAGTAGAAATAGTCAAATATAAGGAGGCTGGCCAAGCTGCTAAATTCATTATCCGCCACCAATTATCGTCAGCAATTTTTAAACAAATTTTATTTACCTTAACTATTCCTTTGAATCCACTTAAGACCTTGGCTAAATAGGTTTTAAGTTCTAATTTTATTTTAATTAATTGCTATCAAATTGTACCCTATTTAAAGACAAATAAATATCTTTTCTAAAATATATCGATATATCGACTTTGTGAATCGACATGTCGGTATCGACTGCAACCGATATGTATCGAACTCGATATATCGATGTTATTGTAAGCCTCGCGTCTCTACTCACGATCTTGGGCTTGAAGGGCGGCTGCACGTCGCGCGCCTCGATGCGCGCCCAGTCGATGCGGCGGAAGAACGCGTGCGTGCGCACGTCCTCCTCGCCGCGCGCGCTGCACCCCAACCGCTTCTGGGGGTTCTTCGTCAGGAACGCCTTGCACGCATCCTTAGCCTCCTGCACGACAAACAGATCAATCAATAATAATAATAATAAAGTGTATTTATTTAACTTTTTCTACAGTAACTGATTAGCAAGTATACGAAAACTAATACAAGTTTGACCGTATACCGCTCATTCAATATCGTTGCACTTTAATTTATCTACTATCAGACAAAATAAACGTAATAGTGGGTACATGGATAGACTTAGTAGTTAAGAATGTCCCGAGTATATACAGCGTGCGTTTGATGCAAATGGGAGTTAATGTATTTAAATAAGACAAAGTTGACAAATTATTTTATCATACAAATATAAACCCGATAGTACATTCGTTAATATATTAATGCAAATAACACCTACTTTTAATAAAACTTAAAAGTAGTTCTAGTTATCATATTTGATTAATTTTTATTCATTTATTACTGGAAAATATCATTAACAAGAAATGCTTAAAAATCCACTTTGGCCCTGGTACTCTGAGGCAAACATTTTTTGTTAGTAATTCTAGAATTTATTTAGTTATATCTCACTTTTATTAACTTCTTTGACGTAGGTTTTAGCTTTGTTTTGTTGTAATTTTAATTTACTCTTTATTATTGTCGGTTAATCTTGAAAAAAAAAACGAGCTTGATGTGATTTGAAACTTGTGGTGTTCCTTAAATTGGAAGCTACAATACATAATTTAAAACACACGTTCAGAAGCTCGAGTTGACTAATATGCTAATAACCCTCTCTAATGGGGGAGGGGATGAAAAAATCCGGGATCCAGCCCCAGACTGCAACCCTATTAAGATTCCTCCTCTGCCAGTAGTAAACTAATATATGAGAATATTATGCCATTCCATAGAAATTTCGTACGTTGAGGTAAAATTCATAACTTCTTTTTATCGGAGTCATTTAAAAACTGCTGGAGAGAACAGATTGACAATCAAACTGTTTGGTAAAATAACTTACTTTTAAGGGAAAATTATCATTGACTAAACTTTTAATTTACATAATAATCTTCCATGTGTTGAATGATTTAAAGCTTCACCTTACTCAAAGTCTTCGGGTACGACACGCTATTATCTGTGATGGCAGCGAACAACTCCTCTTCATCTTCCCCATCGAAAGGCGGCTGACCGACAAGCATCTCGTACAACAATACTCCATAAGCCCACCAATCTACAGACTTCCCGTACGGCTGGTACAATATGATCTCCGGTGCGATATAATCCGGTGTGCCACAGAAGGTCTTAGTGGTTTTGTCGCCTGTGATGCCTTCTTTACACATTCCGAAGTCAGCGATCTTTATGTGACCGTCTTGGTCTAATAGCACGTTGTCGAGTTTGAGGTCGCGGTACACTATTCCCCTGGAGTGCAAGAAGAAAAGGCCTATAGCTATTTCTGCGGCGTAGAATCTGAAACATAAAAAAACATTGGATAATTAATTAGCATATCAGCAGTCTACTGATGTCCCCAAGGCTAGGGTTCAGACCTTCTTTATGGATAGAATCGAATTAAATTGAATAGGGAGAATGGGTAATGCATGACCCACTAGGCCCAATGGGGATTGGCAGGTATTAACAACTGCAGCCGGATCCAGTGGTTTAACCTGCTTTCCGAAGCACAGAGGAACTCAAGATAATACATTTTTGGTCACCCATCCTATGACTGGCCATTGTGAAAGTTGCTTAACAACCGACAGACTGAGCGCGGTAGGAGTTTACTAAACGGAAGATTAAATTTATTTTATTTTTCGTTTCACATTTTATGAAAATTAATATATAATAAAACAGCCTCGAACTCGACGTCGAGTACAGCGTCACAGCATAAAAGTTCAACCAAATAAAACCTACTTGGAAAGGTAATAAAGATTCTTAATATACCACACCTATAGGCTTACTGTCGAACGCAATGTCAGTTTTAATCCAATACAATCTCAATTTTCATCAAATCTTAGTTCGTACTTTTGAACATACACTCAATACTTAGTCAATTTCAAATAGTTCATTCAATTACCACGCAATATGTAGCCGATTGGCGCTAGTGTACCAAATCAAGATTACGAAACGTCACAATTGCAATGTCTATAGATCGCAATTGCGTTCCAAAGTAGGTAAGCATGCAGAACTTTTATTATAAATGAATATAAACTACTTCACTCACTTTAATTTGCCAAATATATATGTTATTCTAAGTAGAAATAATTTTAAGAAAACTTACACGGCAACAGGCTCTTTGAATTTGCCGCACTGTTGTATTTGAAACATAAGATCTCCGCCATTCACATATTCCATCACGAAGTAGAGACGGTCCTGCGAATTTTAAATGCATATAGGTAATCACATAAATATTATCTATGAAGTTGATCGTACACTAACAAAATGGGACTCGCCGAAGAAAAGAAAGTAATTTTAAATTTTTTGCCATCTTTAATTTGTTGCCATTTTACAATTCTTGACTTTAACACGACGGAATAATTTCTAAAACAAAGGAGGAATGAAGGTTATAATATACATATATTTGGGTAAAATTGTATGAACGTATTTGGTTCCTATTTTTTTTAATAATATTCCCAATAAAGTAACGGCGTGTAATCTTATTAATAACTATGTGACTTATAAACAATAACTAATCCTACGTGGAACAAGTATTTGTAATGTCATAATTTTATCTTTCAAATATAGGTACTTATTTACAATAAGTACTTAAGAATTTTCTAATTCAACCGCCATTGGTTGTTTCTAAGAAGAACATGCGAAAGAAATACACTAACTTCAATAGAGTAACAACATTTACAAATATCATGGCGTCACCATATCAATCAATATTAATTATATAAATAAGTTTTGTGTTACAAACAACTGACTTAATTAAACTATGAGGATGGGTGAGGTCACTTTTCATTCAAAATACAATCCATAAGAACCACGGCTAAACTTTAATGAGATTTCAAAAACAAACAAGGTGAACCTAGGGAAGTTGTTTGCTATCGCGAAAAATAGGCATCACTTCACAGGAGTCTGTCTACGAAGGGCGATAATGACTGAATTCCACGCCGGTGGAGCCGCGGGTGGAGGTAGTTTAGTATTAAAAATAAAGAACTTAATCACATTCACGATTTTAAATAACACAGATTTCCTTTCCACACATCTTATGGATGGTAGCTAGAAATTATACAATTAGTAAACTTAGACAAAAGATATTATGATATACTAAGAACCTTAAATCTTACTAGCCTCAAAGATGTAGAGAAAGAGGAGATATGATTGAAACATAAAATCTTGACTGGTCATTATAATATACCACTTTATGGAAAAATGCCGACATCTGGAATTAATCTACGTCTAGTCGTCTACGTTCAATTTGAAGCTTGCTAAAACATATTCCCACAATAACCCACATAAGAAAGCACTTCTTAAGTAATAGAGTGGTCGAGAACGATGCCTGTAATAAATTGCCAGAGACAAAGAATGCAATTGCGGCTGATAATGATAACCAATTTAAAAAGGACCTATATATCTGAAATGTGATCAAAGGGAAAAAAAAAATAGACAAATCAGTTGTTTTGTTGCATGCAACTGCTTGCCAAGAGTTACAATAATATACAAATCAATAAACCGGATTTTATTGTTTAAGTGGGCCAATCCCAGCGGCACTGCAATGCTGGGCTGACCCGTGACGGGAGTGGAGCGAGCCCCGAAACATCCCGTCGATTTACAAAAATCAGTTTAATATACTGGTCCCTCAGTGAGGGAACTTTCAGATATTAAGCTGAAAAGAACAGATACTACACTTTGATCTTAGCCAAAAGGCCGAGAAGCGATACCGTCACGAGTTGAACAAGGGGATGTCATACACTCGGCAAGAAAATTAACACCGCGAGTTATAAAATAAACAGCGCCATCTATCGACATTCTTAACAGTTATTGTGCGTGCTTATATATTTCAAAAAGTAATTTTTTTTTTGTTAATATTTTTTTATATGTGATATGGATTTTTCCGGGATTTTTGCTATAAACCGAAGACAATTTGATAAATTAATTAGTTTACTCAGAAAATTTTATTTCGACATTATTTCAACGAAAAGAAAAAAAAATGAAAGTGAACATGTAAAAACACTCATTTTACTGAATTCTATCGAAATAGCATATGTGATGATGAATAGACATTTACTTATGAAACATCACCAGACCAGCAACCAAATCAAAAGAAAATAAACATCTTTGAGACTCGCAAAGAAGAAATGAATACAACATCAACAGACAAAATAAAATAAAAAGGCAAAATACAAGCTTTCTATTATATTTTTGCAGGATAGCATTTTTACTAGAACAAATCAATTCCAAAAAAATATTTTTAAATCCTTAACATATATAAGATCAGTAGAGAAATGTAATAGACAAGTAAAAAAAGATACAAACCATAGTCTGGAAACAGGAATGCAACTGCACCAAAAAAGGTGGCTTGCTGCTAAGTGCTAGGACTCTTTTCTCTACCATAGTGCATTCCACGTCGTCGTCCTGAATTATTATGTCTTTCTTCAATATTTTGATGGCATACAACTCGTCTGTACCCCGTCGCTCTGCTAGCATTACCTGAAAAAAATAATCACGGCTATGATACTTGAATCAAGAAGATAAGATAGCTGAGAATCGACTATGAACATCGAAATGACGAAAAATACGAAAAAAGAACTTTCAAAAATACGAAATCAATCAAATCAATCAAAAATACGAAAAAAGAACTTTCTTTTTTCGAGTATTTTTAAAAGATAATACAAAAACAGTATTAAAAAATTGTTAATCATGATTCAAAATGTTTGTATGATATATCTTTCAGCTGTTTTGGTAACTCTCTGGAACATTTATGAAGTACCTACGTGAAAAATCAGCAATCTCATTAAAAAAAGGTTTATGGGAACTCAGTGGAAACAGCATTCGAAAGTTAAAGAATTTTCTATGGGTCGAGTTCAGCCTGATATCTAAGACAGCAAATAGATATGTCTGTGAAAGCTTCTTAATTTAACTTTTTTCCAGTCTTATTTGGTTCTCACTGTTTTTTTTTTCCAGGTTCGGTATGATACGCTGTTTGTCCTAGGACAGTAGCTATTCGATACTTCTGTCCATTTTTATACAATGTTACTGATAGCAAAACCAATGTAAGTGTAATTGAATTTCATGTTAATTATATTTTTGGAAAATCCAGGAATGATCCTAAAATTGATTCTTTGATTATAACTTCAATAAAAAAATTAATGTTTAATGTGGCGTTGTGGCATATTAGTTGAAATCTGAATCGACACCCGAAGTATTTGAGACACTCTTCAAGCAAGTGTTCAATTCTCTAAGTGGCCATAATCCCATCACAAAAGCACAGGTTCTCATCTGTATAGATATGACTTGTGATAGCCATGACCAGATGGTATACTTAAAATAGTTTTTAAAGTTTTACTAGTGTAAAATCTATTATACAGACGTTTACTTATGAATTTATTTGGACACTATATGCATTTATTTTCAGGTACTTTTTGTATAAAGTCCCACCTTTCCAAACGATCCTTTCCCAAGCACCATAATGAAGTTGAAGTCAGATGCCCTAATGACGTCAGCGGCGGCCATATTGTGCGGAACCTCTCTGTCAGGCGGCGGTGGGGCTCGTCGGGCACCAACACTGGTCGCTCTCATCTGGTTCTTTAAGTGAGCTAAGTCAGTGCCTTCTTCTGGTACCGGCACGTTGTAGAATTCGCCTTCCTCTTGGGTGAGCAACTTGAACCAGCCGTCAGCTGGAGCCTTCATTAATTCGGAGATACCGAAAGACAGAGAGCCCATGAAGTCATTTCGGGAGGTTCTATCCCAGTCCCATATCTGAAATGTACAAAGCAAATCCTTGTTTGTAATTATGTGTTTTTTGTTTATTTAATTCTTAAGTATATGAGTTTTGTACATAAACAAAAAACTCCAGGTTGATTACTTCATTAAAATTTTTTAATGATGGTAAGCAGAGTGCTAATAAACTAATATGGATGCTAATATAGTATATTTTATTTTTACTTAAGGAGCAGGAGAGTGAATACTGATATACCATAATACTCAAAAATCATTTTGAGATTTGACTTACAGATTCTAAACGTTATGGATATATAGTATTCAATAAGTGCTCAGTTTGACTCACATTAAACTAGGAGACAATAAGCCTTTCCCTGTCTGGATCTGATTATAAATTTTATACTAGCATAGCTACATCAATACCACAGATATTATTTATGTACTAAGTCACATCATTAGCCCTTTTATGTCCCCACTGCCTGCAGGCCTGCCCCTGGGCTCAGACCTTTTTTAAGCATTGTTATGGAGGGTGGATAAATAACCCTCCACGCTTGATCAGTGCAGATTGGAGGGTAGACTGCAAATGCAGCTGGGACCTTCCGAAGCGTGGAGGAGCTCGAAATAATAAATTTTCACCTATGCTATGACCAGCCCTTGCGAAATTTGCTTTATGACCATATCACAGACCGCACGCGCTCTCAACTGCGAAATTGAGCTCCTCATAACACGGAGTAGCTCTAGATAATAGTTTTTGGTCACACATCCCTTGACTGACTATTGGAAAGTTGCTAAGCTACATGGATCACGAGCCGCTGTGCTTATTTACTACGCCACCGTGCTACTATGTAATAATATAAATACCTCAATGAGCAGTCGCCTATCTTTGTCTTCCGGCTTGAGGTCGAAGCTTAACGTTTCGTTCCACACCGGGTTGAGGGTGCTGCGTATGGTCTTTGTTTTTCTCTTCACATTGTCGGCATCAGGTATCAGCTTCATCTTCACGTATGGGTCCGACAGGCCGTTTGGGTCCATAGGGATCAAGTTGCGGCCTTGCTTTACTATAAAAACACAGAAAGTAAAAAAGATATAAAATATTCAATAGCATAGCAATTATTCCTTTAATATTGCTTGAAGACTAGAACTAATGGTTTGTTTTTCATTGTGTCACCATTTTAGAAGTTTCGATTTTGCTGCATAGTCAATGTTAGATTGGAATATGGCGGTTATTAGGTACAATACTATATAATACTATACGCTACTAGAGATATAGAATTATGCTGCTTTTTTATGATATATTTATTATGAAATGTAATAAATACCAAATCGAAATACTAGCCGAAAAAGACAACCCAACTGTGGGTAAAATTTTATTGTCTATGGGTGAGGCGATTAGCTGTCTTCATTCCACATATCCACTTTAAATCTTTCGGTGATGGTTTTTACTTTAATTCTGAATTGGTTCTGTGAATAGGGATGATAACTAATTTTTGTTTGTTTGTGCGTAAGGTAGAGTTTTAAAAAATATTAAACACGTATTTTTTCATTTTTTTCTATTATCTCACTGACGAACTAAATAGAATTGCATTTTTTTAACCCAGTCATCATCCCTATTGTTCGCGTTATCAAGAATAAGGACATTCGGAAGAACGGTGAATCAGTGCCTATGGACTACCGTGTATGGTATCTTCGCTGACAAAAGCATAGACGCACTTTTCCAGAACTTAGCCCTCGGAACCTGCGGCTATAAAGAATCGCTTGCGGTGATTCACCAACCCACAGATTTGATTGAAAATCTAATGTTGAGATAGTGCTATGTACGACACTGTATTTATTAAATTTCTAAGCTAATGTATTTAATATAGTTTAATATTAATTTATCTAAAGTTTATATGACGATAAAGACCGATTTATACTGTCTGTATCACAGAACATGATCTGCAGTCAATAGTTTGTCAGTTTACAGAAAATTGATTTCGAATCTTAATACGTCGAAAACGGTGTTCAAAATCAGAATTGTTTTAAATTTGAGGGAACCTAATAAGCTGCTTCATTAATATTGATCACTGTCTTGTTTGATCTTACATAACATCAAGTTCAAATATAAAAATGTTGATTAATACATGTTTTTGGAATTCGCATCAAGTTATAATTTTATAATAATGTACGCTGTTGTTTACCTTCGACAGTGAGCTTGTTTCCATGGCAAGAGACAGTCAGTTGTATGCGCCCGCGCCGCTCGGTGTGATCGCATCCACATAGATTGGGCACAGATTCCTCGCACCGCTTGTGGACGTTCATGTCGCATGCTGTCCAAATAAATCATGTTTAGTCTCAAAGACAGAAAAAATCATTAAAATAATTTGGTCAAACCTACCTAGCTTTATAAATCAGACTTTTTTTACTTGTGAATGAGGAACGGATTAAAATAGTTCCATTTATATTATACGCGTACATAGATAGTGTCGTTTCACGTATGAAGAACTAATCGTTATTTGTGGTTTATAAAGAAATATTTAAAAACAAATTTTTCATTAGATATATAATTCAGACTTGAAAGCCAACGGATCATTTTCATTTTGTAATTTTTTCAATAATATTTTATTTCATCAAAATTTAAATTCTGTGTAATGATCCGCGGCTATAACGTAGAACTACGTACACTAACCTTCTTATTAAAAAGCGAGAGTTACAATTAGTACTTGGTTTAAAACATTGGTTGCATATTGACTTATTTTGGTCGGATAATGGTTTAAACCTGTGGCATAGTTGTCTAATACCGCAATCTATCGCAATCCCTTCAAAGTTGTAGCGATTATTATATTGATTTATGCAATTACGTACCTTTTAGTCTCAATCCCTTTTGGACCGAATGATGATTTGAATAATAAAAAAACATAATAAAAACTTATTTAAACCCCTCAAAAGATTACATTTAGCATAAACAATTTCCTTTGACATTTCTCATTAGTTTCCAAGATATTTGCGTCGAATACTAATGTCTAATCAACGATTAATTTCATTTAATACCTTCAAAAAACGCGTCGAGTATCAATCGGCACCACGTGTAAATAATTGTAGCGTGAAGTTCGTGAATATCTTTCATGTTTCATATTGAAAAAGATTGCAATAGATTTTTATATTGGACAATTAGACCCTTGTTAAACTTACAGCCGGTTTCTGTTTTGAGAAAAGTACAAAATCTCAACTGATTATTCTAAATAACTTAAGTTTTTTTTACATTTCATAAGGCAAAAAGGTCTAATTTTATGAAACGACAATCGACTGATCATTAAAAAAAACAAAAATCCTTCCAAGTGGCATTTAAGTACAGTTTGAGACTTTCTTAATTTTAAATTCTCTATTCAAAAACCGGGTGTTAGTCCTTGTTTTATTCCGTCTGTCTTTTCAGGTAATGAAAGCTGAAATACGATATACGTTTAGTTACTACGATGTAAAATCAAACAGAAGAAGAATTAAAAATGTAATCGTTAGAAGAAACGTTAATTAACCAGATAAAAGAGTGGAATTGGTCACATATAGCAGTGGTTGTATATATTTATAGCTATACGACCTAAAGCTTAAAACGAAACCAAATATAAACATTTATAGAAATAATACTTAACCAACAATTTAATTATTTAAAAAAATGTTCAAATTGAATATAGCATCTTGGTTATATAACCTCTATTAATGAGAGTTATATTAGATAAATAGATATGTAAATTATAATGCGGGTGTTACCCCAAATAGGATTCGAACCTGTCTTTTGTCAATAATAAGTTTTCGCTATGTTATTATTCAATCTATGGCTATGATCATACTATTAGATGATTCAACAATGGTGAAATTATATTTTTTCACACCACAATAATCCTAACAGAATTTCCATGCCGTGTTTTGATATACTAAAACCAAATCAAAATATTTTTATGGACCAAGTTTACTTGCATCTGTTTTGAATTAGAATAATATGTTCTATTTAAAGCTGAATCATCGGTAAAACGACTTTCAAAGATTCTCTGTCAACCACTGCCATGTTCCATTTATGTAGCACGAGCTAACAATGAGTGTCGGGAACTAACAAGTAACTCATGCAACACATAACATCACAACACAAGCAAAGCAATAACAAAGAGTTAGTTACATAAATAAATTTAGATACAGCTTGAGGATAGACAAATACAGTCTAAGTGCACAAACAAAAACATAATCTACAATATTTTCATTAAACATGAATAGCAAAATATGAAACACATACAAATTAAAAATATATATAACAATTTCGTCGATTATATTATCATTTGCGTGCGATGTATTAATATAATTGTCGTCATATGATAAACGTATATTCGAATATGAATAATAGATTAAGTGCAAATCACCAATCTATTTTTGCTTTGCAGACATACACCATACTCATCTGTACTATCTTTGTGTGATTCACAATCAGTGGTATTCAGGCATGGTCAGTCCATTTCACTAAGGGGTTCACCGGGAACTATTTTCCTCGGTTTATCACAAATATAACTGATTGTTTATTTTATCAGTACCTCCGCACTTAAATCCTTGGTGTGCTAGTCCATGTAGTAAGGTGCCACAATGATCGCAAAACGTTGGAGCTAGGAATGTCCACGTGTTCCATTTGTGAGGAGCGTAGGCAGCCTTATTAACAATAAATCAAAATTTAATATAACTAACGGTGTATGCCATGACAGTTTCTTCATTGGAAATTTACATACAATTCTCCCGAGGAAGGAAGGAAATAAAAACACGCCATATAAACCCTGCTATTAATGTACAAGATCAAAAATTAGTCAAAAAGCATTAGCACAAACCATCACCAATAGTTCTGAAAAGAGAAGAGCTAAAAAGAACACACAAAAAGCGCATTAGAAATCCAAGCGATAGAAAAGCTTAAGTAAATTGTTCTGGCAAAGAATCCGGCGATGTCGAAGCATGGTACCTTGACATTTGAGCCCCTGGTGGATGAGGCCGTATAGCAGCGACCCGCAGTGGTCGCAGAATGTTGGAGACGAGTATGTGTGTACGCGGAAGTTGTGCCGAGTGCGTGTATCCTGTTGGTAATTTATACAGTGGTGATATGTTCATTTTCTCCGATGATTTCTTAATACACGCACACCAAATCATCTTTTGTTTAGATTATTAGACTATATTTATAAATATTCGCGTTTAAAGAAATAATAATTAAAACAAAACCGCAAACACTTATCTAATAGCTATAGAGGTTTGCTTTTCATCAATATTTTGTTAGGAGAGTTACATTGCGGCCTAGATATTGCCTAAACGCAAATCTGTTTTTGTTACATAGTAGCATCATTAGCATCACCTAATAGAGTAAGATCCCAGGTCAACCAAACATTACTTATTTTCTAATTGACAAAATGTGTAGGATACAGTAGTGTTAGTATATACTAAATCGTATGCCGTTTTAGAATCTATCTGGCTGCTTACAAATTAATTATAATTCTCTAGGTAACATATAGGTACATATAAAAACTCAGTATCAGGCTATAAGGGAGATTGAGTTTTTTTGGGAACTTCAAAGCAAACAAGCAAGCAGTTAACGCCGAATGTGTTTTGGAGGGTTGATGATTACTTTTTACGATGTACAAAAATACTTGCGGCTTGACATACAATCATCCTAAGGTAAGGTGATACGCGAGGCTATTGAAATTTAAAAAAAACACCCGATTTTTAATAGAGATGAAGATTGGCATATACCACCGGCTTGGGATCCGGTTATTAGTCAAATAAAATCTCGATTCAGATCACAAATTGCAAAACCAAACGATACAGTTAGTTCATCATGTAAATATTAAATCAAAGGGGCATTTCAATTTCTCGTCGGAGTTTGTTTCGTCAGTTCTTTTCAGACAAGACCCCCGAATTTGGTACTGGTGGTAGATTACGGTAGCCAGGTGTAAATTATTAGTCAAATGTATTTTTTAAATAATTCAATTTAATAAATGTAATCGTTGCTATACTTTTATTTGTATTGTCAATGTATCCAATAGTATTTTACCTGAAGATACCTATACTCTTAATTAAAAAGATAATAAACACCTTAGTCTCATGTGAACACGGAACCTGTAAAAGTCCGAAACATCAATAAAATTAAATACACAAGAATTAGGCAGTTTAAAATTTGTTTCATTCATTGAAACGACATATGAAAATGATTATTTATAAAAATGTTTGTGTGTTGAGAAATAATAAAAGATAAAAAAACAACATTCTAAAATTTAGTATTAAATGAAAGATTTTCTAACAAATAGGTAAAAATATAAGTCAATAGTAAAAAAGAAGATAAGCAATGTTGTAGGAAAATGATAGATCTGATATCGATAATCGACTTTCTCGTTAATATCAAATATATTCATTTAGTGAATTACTATACGATGGGCTTGGACTAAAAACGAAAACATCAGGAAATCTTACATCGGATTAGCTAAAATCACAAGCTTTTCCATACTCCCTAATTAAACAATGTAAAGTTAAACATCAGGGACACGTTGTTAGGCATGAAAGATATAAAATAATACATGATTCGATACGAAGACGAGCAAAGATACCAGAACGTGGTAAATAGAGAAGTCTACTGCAATGCTTCCGTCGAATTTACGATCCTCAGCATTGAGGGATCGGCTTAAGGAGGAAGAGGAGGAATGATTTGAAAAGTTTTAACTCAGTATAATAAATTCCTGGTTGCGCTGTATTAGAGAATGGACCTGTGTCAATAGCGTTGCCGAGCTCTTTCGCTTAATCCAGGACAAAAGAAAACAAGAGTAGCTGACTGCCAACTTCTACTGGAGAGGTTATCTCAAGATGATCAAATTGAGAGTATTGAATTATCTACGATGCTGTCAATAATAATGAAGATGATGGTAATCCACTTGGTTCCTGGCACCAAAATTAATCAAAATATAATAATTAGAACAAAATTCTCATATTTATCGAAAGTTTTAATATTTGTAACAATATTTCTTTCGGCTGTTTGGGTGGATGCCTGAACATTGATGAGAATACGCTCTGTAGTAGCAAAAAGTAACAAGTGCTTGAAAGATTCGTCAGTCCTGTTAGGTCTTGGATAGCTCAGCGGTTAGAGCAGTCGCCCGGATTGCGAAAGGGGTTCGATTAAGGGTGCTAGGGACCAAGTGGATTTTTTAAGTATTTTGTATTAAGAATAATTTTCAGTATGGCATTGTGAATTCAAAATTAATCAAAAATATTATAATGTTAATATAGTTAATGATTATGATTTGTTATAAATAAAACCGATGGTATTATTTTTTGTTGATGTATTCTCATAGCAACAACAGTATCACGATATGACTAAAGACTAAGAAAACAAGTAGCTGGCTATACTCACAAACAGTATTTTACATAATAATGTACCCAACCGAAATGTTTGATATTCATACTATTCATAGATAAGGAGGCCTCATTGAAATATCCTTTATAAGCTCCCAACCGAACGATTTGTATCCCGCAACGAGATGCCTTTTCATTCAAATGAATTTTATGTAACAAAGATGTTCGTGATATTGGATATGTATACGTAAGTTTGTATTATTTGAAGGCATAAAGTAAAAATTTCTGTTTTGAATCTCCCCTTTTGCCTATTTGCTAGTGTAAGAGAAAATTGACATTATTCTGCATATTTTCGTTATTTAAATAAAGTAAAGCTCAAAAATTCAGACGATTTCTTGATAGAAAATAATTTTGGTATATTGTGACCACCACTCGGATTTCAAGTGCCTATCGAAGCATGGAGTTTGAGATAATAAATTTTTGGTCACCCATCCTATGACCAGCCCTTCATTATTTAACTTCTGTATCGGAGACCGTACGCGCTATCGAACTCTGCCTTAGTAGTTGCTATACCGAAATTTTTATGCTGCCCCTACTTCGAACATAGTTAGCACACCTACTCAATGTTGTCCCTATTACAAAATAATTACTCTTATTCGATGAATGGTAGGTGGGTTAATTAAAATTAACGTTTTGAATGATTAATTTATAATAAGTACCGGCTTACATCCGACAGTGCGAAAAACTAACATGATTCATTAATTAATTTATCTAGAGTGCATAATTTATTCACACAGTGGAAAATACAAAGAGTAATTACATTGAAGTGGACGTGTAGGGTTACCTGTACATTCGAACATTTAAAAATCAATCCGCGAGTTGACTGTAGATGAAAAACAATATATGTGATGTATCACACAAAGTTTTTTTGATACGGAATCTAAAAAAAACATTTTAACAATAATCAATGAATTTATCATTACCAGCCTTTTATGTTCTCATTGCTGGGCTCAGGTTTTCCCTATAAATGGAAATCAAAACGAATAGGGAGAAAAGGCCATGACCCACCACGCGGGTCCATTGCGGATTGGTGGGTATTAACGACCGACTATGCAGCCGGGACCAACGACTTAACGTGCCTCCTGAAGCACGAAGGAGTTCGAAATAATATTTTTTTACTTTAAATATACCAAATTCTGATCGATTTGAATAGACTAAAAGAACGATTGTTTTTAACGTGAATCGAAACGCCTAGCTGTCATATGCTGTCGGTTAGAACAATTACGTCACAGTTCAAATTGCCGCGTGTCAGATTTAAATCACATTTTAATTGCATCCAAAGTTGGATTTAAAAACAAACACGATTTTTTGGGTATAATTTAACCCAATAATTGATTTAAAATAAGTTTTCACATATTGTGAACTCCCGATTTACTTTTATACAATTATTAAAATGTTCTTTTACCCGATTACAGTGACAAGGCCGTTATTTACTCGTTGAAAAAGACAAAAAGATTTTCTTTGAGTCAATATTGTGTGTGATCTTTTATCGTTATTAACGAAGCGAGAAATAAAAGAATAAGACAAAACAAAGTGAACGTCGAAAAAGAATTCAAACGAATTTACAACGTAAAATTGCTCTTTTAGTACGTAATTTTATTTTTATTTTGTGTGCTCCGATTCGTGATACTGTGTCGATAGGATAATGTATTTACACAGCAAATATAATTGACATAATATTTTTGGTTCTTATCGTGTAGAATTGACGGAAACTTATTTTTTTTTTTAATAAAAATTCATTCATTCTGTACTTTTAATATAATTTAATTTTAAATTGTTAACGAAAAAATCTCCAATAACCCTATTGAAAACAACGGTAGCACTCTTAAAATAAATTTTTGATAGATTTTGAAAATAATTTTAAGCGGATATAGGATACACATATGAATTACTTTAGTTTTATACATCAAATGTAGATGCATTGAATACATAATTCATCGTTACCTTTTTTGGCAGCCCTAACTATCCTCGATAATGTTCATGTGACGTCTGCACGCGATTCTACAACTTGTCAGACAATTACTTTGCGAGTAATGTTACAAACATTACTTTTAATTTAACATGTTACAAACACGTATCCATAAAGATTGTGGCAAACTTTGTTCCACTGTTCTAAGTCTGGGCCTAAATAAAATATATAATCTGAGGCCTCAAGCAACGCTATAGACGGAGAATAGCGGAATAATCTAGGTGTCTCTGAAGTTGTATCACGGGCCTTTTTACCTTTAAAACTCAGTACTATTTAAATCTACCTAATACTTTAGTTATTATATCATGTTTTATGTATATTTTATAATTGTCATCATAAATTTTATTATATTTCAGATTATTTATTATATTACTATAATCTGATGATATTGGCCTTTGAGGGTCGGAAGACCCTTTTTAGTGCTGGTCTATACGCCCAAGTCTAACTACGTCGGTGAAAACCACTTTATTTGAATCATTCGGTGTATCAAATTATTATTTAGGTTAAGTAAAAGTATCAATATTCAATAGGTACTAAAATATTTTCTATGTATTTTAATCTACCACAGTGTTAACTAAAAACGCGAATTATGACTCAAACCCGCTCTTACATGTGCGACTTTAAACACTTTAAAGAGACGCGTAATAGGTCTAATGTAATCAGTTCCATATTTTTATAAATTTCAGTGTTAAATAAAGTGGATATTATAACTATATAACTCCGCTTTAGTCTTTATAAATTTCCACGACACGCGGAATGGACCGGAGCGGGCTAGATACAATTCCCGCCGGTCTAATGTGATGGGAACAGCGACGTCACTGCGGTGTGCGGCCTCGCTCAACCCTGCGGAAATCAATTTAGGGAACTACAAGCAGCTAGGTTGATTTTTGGAAAGACCCTCTAACTATAAATAGGTTTGCAATGTGTCTGGTCAAATATTAGGGTGGCAGACCGAGGGAATGTATTACAGGTTTCCCGAATGCGATGTTAGCGGCCTGTATCCTAGGACTATAAGGTAAAGTACGCGTTTATATCTTTGTATGATTATTTTTAGTTTTTCTTTTGCTACCATCACACTCACATAAGCAGAATTCTGGTATTAATTAACAACTGGTTGTTGCTCTTCCATTAATTTGTAGGCGAAAACTTTTTTTGATACACCTAAAAGGTTTAGGAAGGTAAACCTTAGGTCGCTGGCGTTGTATCTTGAATAACGCCAGCCACTGTTTATGCATTAGGTTTCCAATTAACTAATTAGTGATGATGATCATCACTAATTAGTTAATTGGAAACCTAATGCATGTTAATTATTACTAGGACATAATGTTATGGTGATCAATGAATTTTGACTTACGTCTGAATCCGCTCCTTTGTCTGCACCTGGACAGGTGAAGGTGACATATTCGTGGCATCGCTTGTGGACAACGAAACTGCATACTGAAATTGAAAGGACAACATAAGTTACGCTTCTGAAATATTAAACACTGAAAAAACAATATAGACTGAGCATATTAACTGAATATGACGACAAGCTGCTACCTGCGGTTTCGCCCGTGTGATCAAAAGGATAGAACTAAGAATATTTGCAGGATCAGCAGCCTATATGCCTACCATATTAACGCTCCGTTGTGAGTGTTGCGACGCAAAAGAGAGACAAACACACTTTCTTATTCACAATATAAGTATGGATATCTGGTTATTTTTCAACGATCGGAGTTTGTCATAAATCAGATAGATGCCGTTCAAAATTTTATCTAAACTTTTTTAAATCATACGTGGTTATCCCTTCAAGTAGACGTTACCTTGCAGAAGTCGATTACAATGCGATAACTGCAAAACTTATAATGATGTTTAGCAATTTCAATGTCAGTTTCTGGTTACAAACTCTATTAAAGATTGTATGAGAGTACCTTGCGAATGGTGTACAGGGCCTTAATTCTTAAAATTTTCATCAACTCAATAGAATTTCAACTACGTGCAGCTTGCCATTGTACTATCTACCTGAAGCCCAATATTATTAGTCCAATGTCTTCCACACATATCAATGTTTATTATTTCTTTATCCAGTAATAACAACTGTGTATAAGGATTGTGCATGAAACGCTATTGACTTTCCATAATTACGCTAACATAGCAGAATTGTCTTTAGGACTTCAAACCTGCTAATGTTAAGGTAACAATTGCATCTCAATGGCGTCTAAATCAATTGCAGTTTGCCATTGAACTCACTATCTGAAGTCCTATATTATTAGTGCAATGTCTTCATCACAAATCGATGGTTATATTTGTTTGTTATTTTGTCTCGTATATCTCGTAGTAACAAGAACCGAGTAAAAACTGACGTATATTATTATTACGCTATTTAAATACATATAACCTGCTTCTGAAGTCGGTTATTAAATACAGCTGTTATTTAATTGTCATTGACTAGTCACAATTAAGTCACAATTCGCAGAATTAGAGCTAGCTTCCTTTTTTATACTTTCGGTATATACTACTTCGGTATATAAGGGCCCCCCCGCACATTTGGGAGCCTCGCTATAGTTCAGAGCCATGGAGTATCTCAGAGCCAATTAATATTTCAAGTCAGTGTTAAATAATGCAAAAAATAAAATAAGCCACGCTTCGGACTGGTCATATTTTTAATGAACAGAAACTGATAAATAAAACTCAAGTCATAGTTAAGTTGTGTTGCGTTATTCGGAGAGTAAAGGATGACTTTTCTGTTTCGGGAGGGGAGAGAGGGTGTATGTGATTTGCTGAGGGCCCCGCTCTGGTTTAATTCGGCACTGCATAACTATCATAGTTTAACTTATTAAAATATTTGTTCCTCAGGTTTAAGACTCTATTCTTTCACTAAATAAATTAAATAGATGGAATCTAAGATTTAAACTCTTACCTTGGCACTGGAATCCTTGTTTCCCGAAGCCCCTGAAACAAAACGATCGGACGTTAAATCTCGTTATTACTACAATGTAATTTGTTATTGAATTCTGTTATTAACTAAATAATTTTTTAACATAATTAATCACATGTAATTAAATAATTATAATTATACACCAGTATAATTATAAGAATATGGGACAATAAGTTTAATTCTGTTATCTTAGTTATTTACGAAATTGACAACGCGTTTAAAAGGATAATCATAAAATAAGAAGCAACTTAAGATTAATTGAGATTTATTTATGGATGACAAGAAACAATTAGTCAAGAGAGAGAAAATATACGTTTTGCTAAGTAAAATAGGGATCATACAATATACAGCCTAATCATCGGTGTAGCGTCCGTCATTCAACAATTAATTATAATAATAATTTATTTCCAAAGACCTATTCTAATTGTGAGGCCAATTGCTCGATTCAGGTATAGTACACAATATAACAATTTGTTAGACATAGCGTAATTTATAAAGTAACGCTATGTGTAACAAAACTAATTTAATATGTAACTGAATCTTGCGATCTGCGCCAAGGATTAGTTCTTGTATTATCCCTTCTCTTTCTATGAAGTTTGTATGACATCCATAACACCTTCAGAATATATTTCACATCCACTCTTAATTGTATTTAATACATAAATATGTGGTCTCTCTCTCTAATAAACGGTGTTGGCGTCAAAGTTAGTAATAGTAGATATACTAATACTAATTAATATATTAAAACTTTGTAACTGTTTGTTTACCCAAATGAATAGGAAAAAATATAGAAAAAAATACCTATTTATTCCAATAATTACTTGATCTACGCACTAGGTTACGCCTGGATTGTGTAAATCAAAATTCTTATTTTTACATAACACAAGGTAAATGCACGATTACCCGCAATGTTTCTTATATTGCTATTTGTTTAATTTATTTAAAATATCTAAACTTAATTAATTACATAATTAATTTCCAAAACAAAAATACAAATTTACAATTTTTTTATACAAAGTATTTTTTAAGATGTGTGTGTATTTGTGTGTGAGAGAGAGTGTGTGCCTGGTAAGAATAAGAGATGAACATTGAGAATAATTAGGTCTCTACTACATACTAATCAGAACACTAATTGAAACTCATAAATAATAACAAATAAATAAATAAAGATTCCCTATGGATAGAGTCAAATAGGAATAATGACTCCCCCCCACGCAAGCTCAGTACGGATTGCAAGGTGTAAACGATTCTAGATACAGCCGAGATACAGCTTAACATGTCACCGTTTTGTGGTTACCCATCCTATGACCGGTCCCTCGAAAGTTGTTTGACTTCCGTATCGCAGAATGAACGCGCTCAGCATTGCGTCATCGAGCAGAATACATACCTATACGAAATTCTCTCATCTTGTAGGCATGTTGTAACGATTGCATGCAGGTTACTGACACTAATTCCCGTCTGCTCCTAACTGCAGACCGGATGATACCGATTGACTCCAACCACAGTAAAATCAAAAATATACGCCGACTTGAGCTCAGTAGGATGATTCTGCTAATGTTTAGATAATATTCATGCATGGTGTTATTCACTATAATTTTCTCCGATCTGGTCAATCAATAACGGCAGATGTCTATTGTGACGAACTTCGAACAATGTTGGCAAAACTAGCAGTAAAACAACTCTGACTGATGATTCGATCTTCACCATTATTGCTCCATGACAACGCGAGACCTCATACAGCACAAGAAACCATTTTGACCCTTCAGGAACTGCAGTTAGAAAACATTCGTCATCCTTCGTATTCGCCAGACATTGCTCCAACGGGCTACCATTTTTTTCGTGATTTGTACAATTATCTACGTGACAAGAAGTTTTCTTCCCAGGAGGCAGTACAAAATGCTTTCACACAGTTTGTGCTGTCGAGGAGACGAAATAAGATCCTCAGAGTTCTATCGCAAAGGCATGATCTTCCTATTAGATGGCAACAAAGTATAAATAATAATGGTAACTATTTTGATAAAATAAATTTATTAAAAATAAAAAAATAAACATATTTGATTTTCAGTACAAATCGGCAATTTCATACTTTAACCCCTATTATAATATTATAAGTGCTATGTTTTATTCACAAATCAATGGTGACAGATTTAAAATAATATTGGATTTCATATAGATAGTACAATGGAAAAATGCAAGTAGCTGAGATTCTATTGAAATGCGATTATTACATAAACATTTGCAGAATTGACCTATTGAGCGAGTGATAATAGGCTTAACACGTAGGGCTGTCGCTTATAGTTATTCAATCGTCAGAAATGCTTAGTCAAGCGGCGCAGAGTATGCGCAGGTACGGCATAGCCACGACTGGCAGGTTACCACTTGTAACTTGAACACCTTTAACATCGATAAATTTTGTAAAAGCGACGACGCATTCCCATAGGCATGAAGTCAACGTACTCTTTGGTTTTACTATGCACCAACTATTAAATGCCGGCGATGCAATGTTTTCATTATTTTTTGAATTATAATCGATTTCATATCGATTGCGAACAAAAGAAATCAAGCTCAAATAAAATCTGTGTAATGTAATTATGAATCGGTTAAAAAATAATTTCTAACATTTTCAGTATAAAAAAAAACACGAAGTAACTAAATAAAATTCTTAATATCTTCCATATGTTCTCAATACTTTTTTTAAATAGAATATCGATAAATGTTATTCTAAAATTTTGACAATAAAAGTAATGGTTTGATTTGACGCTTTAATTATTAGAATTATAAATTTACCGCATTTTTTAATGATTATTATCCTGAAGAAAAAAAATATATTAAAAAACTTGCATATGCTTTATTCTAAAGCAGGGGTTCCCAAACTTATTTCGTCTCCTACCCACTGACAATAAATTATTTTTTTGCGTCTCCGTTTTTACTTAACTACTTAAGACCACTATATTTTCAAAAAAAAATAATTATTGTGAACTATATTAACGGAGATTATACTTTCATACTAAACGAGAATTTTACTATAGCCCGCATGATTTAAGACCTAAGCGCAGCAGGTAGTACCACTCTACACAATGCCTTCATTTTTTTCTGTGTCTCTTACCACCCACTTTAGGCCTGCAGCACACGCGAGGGGGACACTTTAGGAAAGGCTGTTCTAAAGAAATAATGTAAGTAATAACTCAAAAACCATTTTTGAATTAGATTTAATTCCCTACTAGTTTCATTCATTTATCGTTAATGTGAATTGCAGTACAGTGTATAAATATCTGGAACGTTGAGCACTTTATCCAAAACATTAGCCTCACTTTGATCTGCTGAATTCCTTTGGGATAAAACGTAATTTATGAATCGGTCAATATCATTTCATTATGAGCATGCAGCACATCTAGCAACTGTAATTTCCAACCGGATCAAACTTAATCGGAATTGCTTGAAATTGGCAGTACGCTCGAATAGCAATACTTCAATTAGTGCGACTGTCCCACCTGGACAGAATATTGCATGCTCTAATAAAGACTTCCTGAATAGTTGATGCAGTCAAGTTATTCGTAGTATTATTGGACTCACAACTGCTAACCTAAATTAAAAAACAATGCGTTGTCTTTGGTATTTTTATATTTCATCTGTGGTTGTTTTAGAAGTTTTGGCGCCAAGTATGTATTACGCGTATTATATTATTGTATAATTTAGTATAGTTATTATTTTAAGACATAATTTAGATTAGTAGTTTTAATTTATTTTCTATTATTATTAATAATACCTAATGTTCACTTAAATGTTCATTATAAAGAAAAAATAAATAATGGATTAATTTTCTAATTTCAATGAGATGCCTGACAAAGAGCAATATTTGTCTAAAGAGGCTTATAGTAACAGTTTAAATTTTCGGTAAGTGCGTATGTCTGTCTATCAATTGTTGGAATTTTGTGTACACTATCAATATTAACTTTGGCACGCTGATAAGTGCTATTTTTTATCGCTAAAATAAAGAACTTTCCCTTTGACTACGCGAACGTAGCCGCAGATAATAGGTAGCTAGTTGATTATTTTCTAACTACATTGCAGCTACATTTTTAGAGATGTTTTATGTTTAATTATTAGGTATCGATGATGGTACTTTTTGCAATAATATACTCTTTGGGTCCCTGAACCAATTCATATTATTGATAGAATTACCGATTTTTCAGAACAACACTACTAGTTACCATTATATTGTAGTTCTGTGTGCATAGTGGACACGGAACTGCATCATTATCAATAAAAGAGCTCTTCAAATGTCTTTGAAACTGGATATCTTTAAATTAATGAGATAACTGCCAGCTCGTGAGCTACAATATCTTATAACTTATTTCTTCAACTAGAACAAACAAGACAGTGAATACTCGTGTCAACTACATACAACGTAAATTCGTTTGTGCCACTGTTGCATTCTGCGTAATAACATACGAGCTTAACTGTCTTAGTTACACAGCTATAGTTAAGTAGTAATAAAATGCAAATTGAGATAAACAGAGATCCAAAATGTAGTCGATTCCCTTGAAGATACTTTGTATACTTTTACTTAATGCAACCATTTTACTATTCAATTATAGTATTTTGGCGCGAATCTGATCGAACGTCACAGTGACAGAGTAATTTATTCAACTGATAGAGATGCTCCTAACGCAATCGAAAAATATTGCTATCGATATTTTTATTTAAAAACAATGTTTAAGCATTTTTCAATAAAGATATTTATTAGTACAGTAAATGCCAAATTGATCAAATATAATCTCATTATATAATGTTATTAAGAAGTGGAACCAATAATTACAAGTTTTTATGCGCATTAAGACACACTTTAACAAATACTTATAAATATTTCTTTGAAATATATCCGTGAGAACGGAAAAATGTTAAAACGAATAAAACTATAATTAAATGTTCACTGGCGGTGTTCGTTTAGCAAGGGTTGGTGCAAATAAGTGGTACTTGCTAAACGAATACCAGTGTACTTTATTATTAAATG